AAAAAAAAAAAACAAAAAAAAAAACAATTAGCATTAGCATTTCATAAGTGCTAACAACCCTAAATCATACTACCTTAGTACTCTCAAAGTCAAAATGCCTTTGATCCTTCACATGTTCTCACAGAAATCTTTAAGAGATCATATACAGACATATATGTGTATTATTTTCCCAAAAAATTAAATAACGTTATTTACCTATTTACCACTGTAGCAGAAACAATATTACCGCACATCTTGGAAGATCCAAAACAACTATCATATGACTAAATTTTCAGTATGTTGCTCACTATACAGTTAAAACAACAGAACAGAATGGACATACAATAATTCTACTTATAGAGAATTTCAAAAGGAGTAGGAAAATGTTTTGATAGTCACATTATTTAAAATTGAAAACAGAGATGGGTTCGGTGGCTCAGCCTATAATCCCGCACCTTTGGGAGGCTGAGGAGAGTGGACTGCCTGAGCCCGCGGGCTCGAGGCCTGCCTTTTGATTTATTGTAGAGACCTCATCTCTACAATAAATCAAAAAATTATCCGGGCGTGGTAGCGTGCACCTGTAATTCCGGCTACTCGGAAGGCTGAGGCAGAAGGATTGCTGGAGCCCAGCAGATCGAGGCTGCGGTGGCCGGGAGCGGCCACTGCACTCCAGTCTGGGCGACAGAGTGAGACTCCAACTCAAAAAAAAATAAAATAAAAACTCTCATATGTTAATTTCTGCAAATCTCAATTGCTGAAGAATCTATTAGAAGTACTGAAAGCAAAAACAGATTATTTTCACTAAACTAAGGCAATTCATCTTCAGAAAAATGAAAATATAGAAATTACAACTAAGATTCTGGTCAAGTTCTATGTAGGAAAAAGGGGGCATAATTTAGAATTATATACTTTGAGCAGTTTGAACAAGTTTTCTTGGTAGGAGCTGGTGAACTGGTAGATAAAATGTATTCACTGATGCATGGTGTGGAGCAGAAAAGTTGAGTAGATCCTTTCCTCTGAAAAGCAGTTTGCCCCTTCTGGAGAATTTTTTTACAACCAGAACAGGAAACCTGAATAGGTGTGGTTGAATCGGAAGGAAGCATTTTATTCATGCCAGATGATGCTAGGGAAAGCTGAATCCCCGCAGACAACTGTGAAGCTATAAAAACAAGAGGAAGAAAAAAAAAATCAGTATTTACATAAAATTACATACATATTCTTTCATTTTCTTATGTTACTTCTCCCAGACTTGAAACCCAAAACAAAGCAATATTCAAAGACAATTTTTTTTGAGTTGGAATCTCACTCACCCAGGTTGGAATGCAGTGGCACACTCATGGTCACTGCAACCTCAACCTACTGGGCTCAGGTGATTCTTTCGCCTCAGTCTTCCAAGTAGCTAGAACAACAGGCATGTACCATACCTGGCTAATTTTTTGATTCATTGTAGAGTCATAGCCTTGCTGAGTTGCCCAGGCTGATCTCAAAGCCCTGGAGGCAATCCTCTCCCCTCTGCCTTCCCAAGTTATGGGATTACAGGTGTGAGCCACCAAGTCTGGCCTGTTTTTGTTTTTTATTGGGTTGGAGTCTCACTCTGGCAGCCAGGCTGAAGTACAGTGTGATGATCATGGGACACTGCAACCTCAACCTCTTAGGTTTAGGCAGTCCTCCCACCACAGCCTCCCAGAGTGCTGGGATTTTAAGAGTGGGCCACCATGTCTAAAGGCATTTTAAAAAGAATGAATTAGGTCAGGAGTGGTGGCTCAAGCCTGTAATCCCAGCACTTTGGGAGGCTGAGGTGAGAGGATCGCCTGAGCCCATGAGTTGGAGAACAGCCTGGGCAACTTGGCAAGATGTTATCTCTACAATAAATAAACAAAAAAATTAGCTGAGTGTGGTAGCGCATGCCTGTAGTTCGGCTATTTGGAAAGGATAAGGCGGAAGGATCGCCTGAGCCCAGCAGGTTGACGCTGGGGTGGCCATGAGAGTGCCACTGTACTCCAGCCTGGGCAACAGAATGAAACTTCAACCCCCCAAAAAAGGGAATGAACGAGTTATTATGCTGGTCCAAATAAATATAATTAACTTAAATAATTATATTACCACTGTCTGAACACACAGTGTTCATTTTTAGTTCACGTTCCTGAGTTTTGGACTGTTGAGCTTGACAATACTCCTAAAAAAGAGAATTGAAGAAAAATGAATATAATGTATTTAAGACAACCAGTCATTCAACAGAAAAAGAAATTATGCTCAACTCTGTTCAATAATTGCATAATTGAATTGAACCAAGGTACATAGGTAAGTACTACCCTTTTGGTGCCCTGTGGCTGATAACACCAATCACCCAATACATTATTTTCTATGGTACTCAGATGTGACTTCAAAATCTTTGTCAGCAGGATCCTTCAATCCATTACCAAGAGAGCAGACATACTCAACACTATTTTCCCTACTTGTTCTAATCATTAACAGCTAACTGTCTTCATAAAGACCTTAAAGTTAGAAATTGTTGGATTAGGCAGAATGATTCTTTTTTTTTTTTTTTTTTGAGTTGGAGGAGTCTTACTCTGTCACCCAGACTGGACTGCAGTGGCATGTGCCTGGCCACCACAGCTTCGACCTGCTGGGCTCCAGCGATCCTTCCGCCTCAGCCTTCCAAGTAGCTGGAACTACCGGCCTGCGCTATCACACCTGGCTAATTTTTTTATTTTATTTTATTGTAGAGATGACGTCTCGCCAAGTTGCCCAGGCGGGTCTCGAACCTGTGGGCTCAGGCAATCCACTCACCTCAGCCTCCCAAAGCGCTGGGATTACAGGCTGAGCTACCAAGCCCGGCTCAGAATGATTCTTATAAAGGAGGACTTTTTTCAGAGCAGTTAAACACTAGAACATAGCCACTACACCTAAACTCAATCTATACCTGAATGTCAATGGGCTGAAGAAGCAAAAGGTACTTCCTAAATGGGTAACATTCCCCAGGGTCACCAACACAATGGTAATCACATCCTTACTTACACTAGTCTACTGCTATTTTTAAACAGAATACTAAAAATAAATAAATTTTTTACTGACTTTTTTTCATCAGAAATTTCAGCTGGTTCACACAGACATTCTAAGAAAACCTAGCCCTACTTAGACTAGGTTTTCAACTGACTCACAGCTTGAGTCAGTTCAACCTTTATAGTGTTCTTTAGTATCTAATCTTGTTTAAAATACATACAATTCGTTATTTGCATTGTAATTTGTATTCTTCCAAGTTAAACAAAACAAAAATAAAAATGTGTTAACTCTAGCTACACCCACCCTAAAAAATTCTTTCACCTATCCAAAAGCCCAACGATAATCTTTTCGTCTCTCAAATAATTCTCTTGCATATACTTGTTATGGCACTGAATACCATATACCTCAATTATTTAACTGCTTTGGGAAAGATAAGGAATTAAGATTCTCAACCAATAATTTCAGCATCTTCGTAACTAAAATATATAATTAAATGCTGCTCTAGAAAAAAAGAAAATAAAGTAAAATACTTACTTGAGCATTGTCGGGTTCTGTCTTAATTTCATCTAGCAGCCCCAGCTGTGGTACCACTGCCTTGTCACATTCACCATCTAAAAGTGGTTCTTTCATTTTAGTACCTGGTGCAAAGGAAACTTCCAGTTCCAAACTATCAAGATTCTTCCTGGAGAATGGTTTCCAGTTTCCTAAAATAAAATATTAATAAGAGCCTGATTTTAAAAAAGTCTTTTTAAATATGGTAATTTTCTGGAAACACGAAAGAGTCTTTAGACAACTTGGCATCAAGGTTTCTTTACAATACCAGCCCTGGCTTCCTTTCCTTCATCCACTATTCCTCAGCACAGTTTTGTTTTGCACTTCTTTGGTAGCTACCACCTCTGTGCTTTCTTCTGGAAATAGTCTCCATTTCTGTCCCCACAAGCCTGGAGGCAGCATAAAACCACCAAATCTTTGTGTGCGTGTGTGTGCTATTTTTTTTTTTTTTTTGAGTCAGAGTCTCATAGTTGCCCAGGCTGAAATGCAGGTGCATGATCACAGTTACTACAGCCTTGACCTGCTGGGCCCAGGTGATCCTGCCACCTCAGTCTTCCAAGTAGCTGGGACCTCAGATACACACCACAAGGCATAGCTAATATTTTGATTTTTAAAAAATTTGAGCTGGGCTCGGTGGCTCAGCCTGTAATCCTGTGCCTTTGGGAGGCTGAGGTGAGTGGATTGCCTGAGCCCGTGCGTTCGAGACCCGCCTG